AACAATTCAAGAGAACCTTGAGTTCTAGGCATGTTGTAGCACAAGATAATTAGTGTGCAGACCATTTTCATTTATATAGTGCTCTGTGAACACAAATTATTTAGCATAAATCAGTTAAGTGATGAAAAATTAGGTGTCTATTTACTTGTGACCACTCAGTGTATTCTATCTGTTATTTTCCCTACTCTAACTCTATACACATTCAGAAAATTTGACTGACCTTTTAATCATCATAAAAAAAATACAAAATAATCCTAAATTACCATTATTTCTTTCTAGAATGACTACAATTTGTAACAGAATACTACAGTTATTTATCCTAAATAACTTAAAGCTTGTAACATTGTACTTCTGTTTATAACTTAATTTGATTGTTGTATTGTCCTTTGATCCATGACTGACTAACTAATCTCACCACACAAGTTATAAATCACTCATTGAATGTGTAGCTCATGCTACCATATTGAATGATGTAATGCACAACCTGCTCGAAAGAATACCTCATGAAGAATTTTTTTTTAATTATCTTACCTAATCTAACCTTATCTAAACTCATAAGTTACTCTGACAATAATAAATAAAGAATATACATGAAAAACAAGAAATATATCACCTGTGACCTGTTGTTTTTTATTGTCAGTTGCCGATGAAATGTAAGCCCATTTTCCTGTATTAATGGTACTAGTATACTAAATAATTCTTATTTACTTGAATAATACACAGAATAATAACACACAAAGCAAACAATGTCCTATAACTATCATAATTTATTTATTTGGCTTTCTAACTATGGCATAAGAGCCTTTAAATCTTATCTTTAGCTTGTCGATATGATCTCTGTGAGAGAAATTCTCAAACTGAAGAGGACAGTGTAATATAATGTGCTCATTTGAAAGCTTAAACCTTTGGCTTTCTGTTGGTTATAAATAATATAGTATAAATTGTCAGTGAGAATTATTGGTAATTTGTGAAAGAGAGGATGTGATAGATGGGTATGGAAAATGGGTCTGACTTTATAGTTTGACTCCAAAAACAAATAAGGTTGGAGTCTAAAAATTGTACTTTGCCTTAGTAATATCTATATTATAATGACTAATATATATGGTATTCTGTATTTCTCAGTGGGATGGTAAATATATTAGAGAAGAGGAAAACATAGAGAACAAATGTTATGATTCTCATATTAGGGAAGATGGAGAATTTTTAAAATATTTCCTTATAAAACTTTATTTATTTACTATGCTTTGTTGGTTACAATGATAACAAAGTAATTTGATTAGATTTTGAATGTAACTCTGTGATAAGGTTAAAAATAAAAATGTCATTGTATTTTTGTGCCTGAACACTTATTAACTACTATGCTAGTAGTTACAGTATTAATAACTACAACTTCAACTGTATATACAGTAGCATATATATATACAGCCAACATCCAATTATTTTTGGGCAGCTTATCCAAACAGAAGAAAAAAGGCTTTTTTTTTGTTATTTTGACACCAGTGATTCTGGTATCATTAATGCAGTGCAGCAAGAGGAGGAGGGAAAGAGGACTTTAGTAATGAAGGTGATAGTAAGACAATGAATTGTTTTGATATTGTCTTAGATTACCTGGGACAGTGGGAGTTTGATTGCAATGATATCATAACAGCCAGGAAGATGAGAACAATTATAAGAAATAATGTAAATCAGCAAAGATTATAAACTCTATCTACTGCATTATTAAAGTAATATGTAATTTTAACATGTTTGACAAAAAAGGTGTCCCAAAAAATTTTATTTTCCAGATTATTCATGCATCCTTTCCATTCATTACCCAAGATAATCAGAAGTTGACCATATATACAGTATTTAACATAATTATGGAAACAGTGAACAAAATGGATATTACAGATGTAGGTATTATTGTATTACTTCCCCTTTATTGTATGAAAATGAATTGCACCAGTCACATTTTGATAGCTTACACTGCAATGACTGTCATCAAACCATTCAGTGCCACATAAGTAACACTTATACAAGTACAGGAAGTTATTCTTATCCCATCTGCAGTGCGGTGAGTAATAATTAAGAGTTTATTTTTTCCCCTAAAACCAAATGTTTGAGGATATCACTTATTTTTTTGTTTACTGTTACATATTAAGAATGATGAGAAAAGAACTGCACAGACCTAAATGAGAAGATTGTTCAGAAGCACAATTCCGGAGAAAGCTATAAATCAATTTCAAAGGTTCTCAATTTGCCATTAAGTACGGTAAAATTGGTTGTGAAGAAATGGAAAGTGTGTCACACTACCTCAACCTTGCCAAGATTAGGTCGCTCTAAGAAAGTTTGTACTCAAACAAGCAGAAAAACCATCAGAGAGCCAACAGTGACACTTAAGGAGCTACAAACTTCAATAGCAGCAACTGGAGTTACTGTAAACACCTTGACAATATCCCGTACCATACACAAAAAATGCTTGCATGGTATGTTGTCAAGAAAGAAACCATTACTGACGAAGATGCATCTTAGATCGCGAATGGACAATGCCCGTAAATATTTTAATAACCCTTCAACAATGTGGCAGAATGTTCTAAGGTCAGATGAGACCAAAATAGAACTTTTTGGGTTAAATGACAAATGGTATGTATGGCGGAAACACAACACTGCTCATGACCTGGCAAATACAGTCTCAACTGTCAATCATGGTGGTGGGTCCATAATGCTGTGGGGATGTTTTTCTACAGCTGGCACTGGAGAACTTGAACGCATTCAAGGAATCATGAACAATGCAAAATATACACAGATGTTGGAGGTAAACCTGAAGAAGTCAGCTGAAAAACTCAGTCAAAGGTTTACATTTCAACAGAACAATGATCCCAAACACAGATCAAAGGCACCCCAAGAATGGTTTCAGAGAAACAAAATTAAAGTCCTTGACTGGCCAAGCCAAAGCCCAGACCTAAATTCACTCAAAAATCTGTAGAGACTTCAACTTACAATAACTGGAGAATATCTGCAAGCAGGAAGGGGATAAAAATATATCCAGCATACTGTGCAAAGCTTGTGGATGGTTATCCAAAATGACTTTCAGCTGTCATTGCTGCCAAAGGAGTTTCAACCAAATATTAACTGCATAATCATGTTAGGGGGTGAAGACTTTTGCAACATGTGTTTTTGTGGTATATCACTAAAGTGAGTAACAATGCACCTTTTGTGCTTTGTAATCATTAGAAACTGGTTTGATATTAATATTTTTGGCCATCTGAGTTATGTCTTTCATAAGAAAATAACTAAATTTGATTACCAGCACAGGGGGGTAAGACTTTTGCAAGGCACTGTATATCTATATCTATATATATATATATATATACAGGTGTGTACATTATTTTAATTTTACAGTAAACAAGATGCAATAAATTGATACACATACATCTGTGTACATTCATGCACATGAGCTTGTGTGTGTAATACGCATTTACATACTGTTTGCTCTTGATGCATAAGTAAGTGCTTGATGGCTGTATATAACCTAAAGTATTTTTTTATATGGCTCTATAATATACATTTTGTATCAAATAGAGTTGTACAGAGCCATTGTATTTATGTAAAGCAAAATCAATGATGGTAAAAGCTGAGTGGAGGGATGACTTTTGCAATGTGTGTTTTCAAGATTTTGTTGTGTTATAACACTAATTTGGGTAATAATGCACCTTTTCTTCTTTGCAATCTTTAGAAACTGGTCTCAGATTAATATAATAAATATTTTTGGCCAATTTATTTAAAAAAGATACTTAAAATTTATTACCAGCACAGAGGGAGGAGGACTTTTGCAAGGCACTGTATATATATATATATATATCGTATTACCGTTATTGGTCCAGGTTGTCAACTTATTTTCATAGTAGATAATGTCTGTGGTAATAGCACCCAAATGCGTTGGGGATATCCCATCTATCAGACAAATTCCAAATGATGGTGTTAAACTAGTCATGGAAAATAAAATAAGTGTACAAAAATTAAGTAAGGGAATGAAGCTGAATGCTTACACCCACAATATCTCAGCTTTTACTGCCTTTCACTGTCTATAGCCAGTTGTGAGAAGATAGTTACCCTTAAATTTCTTTAAGTAGAAATGAAACCACCCTGACATTAGTACTAATTAAACTTCCAACCTCCACTCTTACACAAAATATATTAAGTAGAACTATTAGATATTAAATAGAATTATAAACCCTACCTTAAAAGTTCTTATATAGATCTTACTCCCAACCTCCTCCCTTTCTCGTGAAGATTTATTCATTATAACACGGGAATGCCAAATCAAGTGCAGTTACTTGAAGTTAATCTTTCCATTCCGGTATAATAAATAAACTTATTTAAAAAATTGTTATTAGTTACATTACATACAAATCAATGTAACTAATGTTCTCTTTATTTTATTTTTATAAGGTATTTTCCTTAATCGATACTTTAGTTTCTAAAATATTTTTGTATTTATTAATAAATAGTGTAAGGTATTTCTTTAATTGCCTGTCTTTTTGCTGTTATCTTTCAGTTTATTTTTTAATAATAGAACATTATCCATGAAAAAATTATAGTTGTCACAGACTATTACAAAACTTTTTAATTGAGATATAATAATACTTTTAACATGATATATGGAATAACACTGTTAGGGGTTGGTAGACCAAGGATGGGAAAATTAAATTTCCTTTCTTTTACCAAAAATAGTCAACCTCACTGTGCCTTCTATAAAAGTAACGTTTAAGTCTAAATAATTAGCATGGACTTCATTATTATTATTATTTCTTTCTATTGCAAGTCCTGATGGATATGTTAAGTTTGGTGTAAAATTCATGTTATTTATAGATATTAAATTATCTATGTAATGGAAAGTGTAAATGTATAAGTTAGGAGTTATATAAATGAGTTTTCATAAAAGAACAGATACAGGTTGGCCATATTTGAAGAGAAGTTTGTTTCCACTGGAATACCTACCATTTGCTTATATACTTGTTTATTAAAAATAATATAACTTTTATAAATACAGAAATGGAGTATATTTTTACATTGAATTCTGATAAAATCAAAATTGGGTATAGTTCATTATTTATAAAATTATCAAACAAATCATTGAAAACCATGATCAAATCTTTTAGGTATATTTTAATATACAGTGTAGTAATATCATATGTCAAAATAGAATTGGCAGTTTTTGAAGAATTTAAAATATGTAAACATTCCAAAACTGGAATGTTATTTCTAATAATCCAAAAATAATTATTCTGGTTATTTGAAGACTGTGTTTTTATTTTTTCAAACAAGACATCTAGAATATTGTTAAGTACTATGGAGACAGACTTAATAACTGTTTTTAAAGAATTAGTAATAAATTTGAACTTCATAGTATTAATTTCATTAAATAAAATTTATGTACAGAATTTTTTACACACAAAACCAAAATTACAACCACCTTTATCAACTGTGGAAATAATAAATTGTCTTTGAATTTATTTCATTTTATTTTTTAATGACATTGAAAGAAATATTAGATTGTCAAGAAATTAATGTCGCTTGTTTTTAGATGAAAAACTCGAACAACTTGTATATCAAAACAAAACATTTATTAAATGAAATAGTCTCCATTCTTATGGATGATGCTTTTCCATCTTACAATCAGGTTGTTAATGTTCTAATTAAATAAATCACTTGGCTTTGAAGTAAAAAACATGTCGATGTCCTGTTTAACACCTTCCACATTTGCATACGTTTTCCCATTAAGATAGTGTTGCAGCGAAAGAAAAAGATGGTAATCTGATGGTGCCATATCTGGAGAATATGGTGGGTGTGGAGAACTTCCCAACTCAACTCCATAATCTTGTGTTGCATCAAACATGCCACATGTGGATGTGCATTGTCATGGAGAAGAAGAACTCCTTTCCAATTGACGAGTGATGGGCGTTTCTGATGAAGGGCTTGATTTAAACGTTCCAGTTGCTGACTACAAAACTCTCCATTGACACTTCACTGTGGATTGAGGAGTTTGAAATGAATTACTCCTTTGATGTCCCACCAAATGCAAAGCATCACTTTGTGGATGGAGTCCAGGTTTTGGGATCGGAAGTGGGTTTTGTCTAGGAGCCATTGGTTTTGGGGTTTAATATTTGCACAGAGAATCCAGTGACGATTCTGTCCAAAAATGGTTCACATGCATTATGCACCAGAAAAGACGAAGCAACGCTCACACATTAGAAACTATGGTCATCGGAGAGTTTGTGAGACACCCAAACACCTTCTTCATGGAGTTTTCCTATATTATCTAATGAGAGACATGCAATTACAGGGCAGTTCACAAGTATGTTGCTTTGGGTTAGACTCAACAAGCGTCTTCAGAGCATCAATATCAATTCCAACATTTCGGCCCCTGCCATTATAGTTTTTAAGGCTAAAGTTACCTGAATGAAATTTGCTAAACCATCTTTTGACACTTATAAATGTTCAAAACATTTCCATAAACATCTTTGATATTATTTGTGGCTACAGAGGCATTGTTTTCCTTCTTGTGTTCAAACAGTATTACATGCCGATTGTGTGTCTCGTTGTGTGCCATCACTGTAAGGGATTAGAGTATACTAAACTTTACATATTATATAGGCTACACTAGCATGAAGTTTTGGTGGTTCGTTTAACTATTATACGTGCTACACGTTTTTTGGGAGATGGTTCATGAAAGTGTTCCAAAATACGACATTAATTTCTTGACGACCTAATATTTAATTTATATTGAGATAAGTTTAGGTTTCTTAATTGATTCTTTATGGAATTGATAAAATATTATTTCCATACAAAAAAAGAAACATGGCAGATAATAGGATTGTTTTTATTTTAAGAACATAATTATCAATATTTTTCTCTTTTATGATTTCACATTGATTTTAAAATTCTATATTTAGTACTATTCTTTAATAATGATTGTAATTTTTTTATCTTTGACAACTTCTAAGTTTCCTGTAACTATGATTATGAAAGATACCTTTGAAAACACTGTTATTACAGTTACAAGGTGAGTTGTCAACTTCCATTTGATTAAATTCTACAATGAATTTTTTATAATTAGAAAGAAAAGGTCTAAAAGGTTTATTATATTTAAAACTGACTATAGGTTGAAATGATTTTATGGGAAAAATGTCTTGAATGCTTTTATGGATTAGGTAAGGTAAATATAAATCATCATAAACCTTATGTTTAAAGTTAATTACTATAAAAGATTTCTCTTTTTTTCTTTACTGAAAGTATATAGGTATAGGATTCCATTTTAATCTAAATCTAATTAGATCTATAATTAAATCTTTAATATGGATAATTTCAATTCAAAGTTTAACAGATACTTTGACAAATGTTTGAGTTTTGCATTTGTTAATTTGAATACTTGTTTTATTACAAATTTCACCAGATTAACAGATCTGTGAAGAACAGAATCTAAATCTTTATAAAATCAATCCATTTTTTTTTTATTTCTACCATTACCCCTATTTTTATTTTGTTTATTGCTACAAATATTTATTTGAAGTAAATTTCTGATACAGGAATCTTTAATTATAAAACTTCAGCAGTTTTATTTGGAAAGTCCTGATTTAATCCTTGAGGGTAAAGAGTTTTTTCTTTCAAAATATAATATTCTTCTCTTTCTGTTAACAAATTTGTATTATAGATTTTTTTAATATAGTAATTTTTACATTATTATACATTTTAAGAAATTTAAGGGTAACTGCCTTCCCACAACTCGTTATAGACAGTGAAAGGCAGTAGAATTGTGGGTATAAGCACTCAGCTTCATACCATTATTTGATTTTTGTACCCTTATTTGATTTTCCCATGTCTGATAGATGGGATGGGTGCTATTACCACAGACATTATCTGCTATGACAATAAGGTGACAACCTGAACAGATAATGGTAATGCAATATTTAATTAATTACTGTTTTATAGTGTTGATTCACAATTAATTTAATCAATAGTTTGAAAGCTATCTTTTTATATATATGTATCTTACACATCAGATGATATACACAAATACTAACACTCAGAGTATCTAAAGAATCATTCCAAAATTCCTGTTTCTGTATTACACATTATTTTTTATTGTCTCAAATGTTTCAAAATAAAGAGGGATTTTGTATACATTTTTTTGGAATTGTGTATTATGCTTGTAACTTGTAATAGATAGTGAGATAAGAGACATACATTAAATCACATTTCTAACTTAAGATTTTGTTTTTAGTTGTCGAAAAGGTTGTCAGGCAATGATATTGGAATACCACGACCACACCTGCTTCCATCATTTAAATTGGACTCCCAAGAGGAAATTGAAATAAAACCTATAGTTTCTTCTTCTTCTACTTTTGTTAAGTTTGAGCAACCATCTGAAGATCTCATTCTTCACAAATCTAATAAAGAAAGACTAAGGAAACACAGGTCAGTTTTAATCCCATAATTAGTCATCCTGCTTTAATAGAAACTAGTCTTCAGGTATATATATATATATATATCTGAATAATAATAATTAAAAGTGAAAATTTAAATGTATGTCACTTATTTACCTGATTTTCTTTTTCCAGTTAAACTACTAGAGGCTTATATAACTGGATGCGTATGCTCTATTTTGATAATTACTAAAAGTACAATTTGTAAAAACAATTCCTTTTTTTTCAAGTGATAATTCAAAACTGATCAAACATTTTTCTCTAATCTGAATAAAGATACTATGTACATGTAAATTTACTTATCCCACATTACACTATTAATGCTTGTGATTTAATAACAAAATAAAACATTGGAAATTATTTTTTGACAAATTATAAAAAATAAAAGTTTTGAAGTAAAAGAAATTTTTAAAATTATATTAACTTTCAATATAACAAATTCACATTTGATTCTCTGATTAAATGTTTATAATTTTACGAGTAGATTGGAAAAGATCCAGAAGCTCGAGTGATTTTGAGTTGTTGACTGTTCTTCTTCAAAAGCAAAAATGTTATGACATAAATATGAATTAAGTAAAATGTGCCATTCAAAGTCAAAAAAGTGTTTCACCAATTACTTGTATAATTAGAAAACATTCCCATTTCTGGAAGATACTGATAAGCAAATGATCTCTGAATAGAGCTAGGCAATATAATTGATAACCTTTAAGTAGCAATCACATTGATTAGTGTCATTTAAACTAATAAATTAATTAAATTATGATGAAATCGAGTAATTAAAGTCAGTGTTTCTGATTATTACTTCTTTCGATTATTTCAACAATCAATTAATCAAAATTATAATTAAATCAATTGTCACAAAAATATCTAACCAAAATTAGTGTTTTTTACTTACTACCATTTTTGATTATTCCAAAACATACTTACCTCCTCTCACATTACAGCTATTACTCCACTGTTAGGGTTTCCTTCCTTTGCCTCTCGAAGCATTGATCTCATTTTTTTCTTGCTTGCTTCAGTCTTTTATTCCCCACTTAATTGCCCTTAGCAATATCTGTCTCATGACACTCTTCACCTACATCCGTGTGCCCTCTATCCTGGTACTGTATATAAGCACCTCATTCAGATAATATTGCCACATTTTCTTGACAAAGCATTCACTCTTGGAGGTACTTTGAGCATTCTTCATGTTACCTAGTTGACTTTCATAAAAAAAAAAAATAAATTCGTTTGGCCAGCCGATTTACGGCTTGAATTCCCAGAAAATTAGGTCTCTCCTATCCTACATCTGATATCTAGCGTCACTCAACAGTTGGGGGTGGGAGTCACTCTCAGTTGAGGCTGTATGTGACATTATTTGTAGTGAGACGGAGACATATATATTTGATCCAGTTGTAATTAATGATGACTAGAAACCCACTTGAAGTAAAAATATATAGCAGATACGGCTGGTATGGGTATTAAAAACTTTAATTAAAATAAAATACAAGAACAATGTTTTGACCTTCTCAGGTCATTTTCAGGTTAACAAAGACAGTTTGAAACTGACCATTACTGGTCATGTCTTAGGGACGAAAGCATGAACAGGTACGAGATTGTAGGGGTGTAGCAGTTAGATGTTAAGTGATTAATATAGGTATAAAGGTGTTCCTTTATGTTGGTTTTAGTTCTTGTATAAGTAGGGCTTCTTTGATTTTTCGTTTGATTGTCTTTGTTTCTCTACTTAATATGTTGGTGTTTTCAATGCTTATGTTGTGTTTATTTGATTTGCAGTGTTCAAAAACGTGAGAAGGTGTTTTTCTATGTTCATTGAATCTGGTTTCCATTTTTTGGCTTGTTTCTCCGATATAGAAGTCGTGACAGTTATTGCATTGTATTTTATAAATAATGTTGGTGTTATGTTTGTTAGTGTAGTTTTTATATAGTATGGATTTTAGTTTTGTGCCCAGTTTTTGATTGAATTTAGTATTTATTGGAATGTTATGTTTTGTTTTAAGTTTTTTTCCAAATGTTGATTATTTTATCACTAATATCGGGAATATACGGTATCCAACAGTGCAGGATTTTATAGTTAGTTGTTTCATTGAATTTAATATTGTTTTTTTGATGTTGATTGTGTTTTTGGCCTAGGTATGTGTGTATGATTTGTTTGATGGTTTTTTCGAGGAAATTTATTGACGTTGAGGAAATGTTGTTTTTATTGTTTGATTTTCTCGTTAATTTTATCTAGTGAGCATAGTTTTGTGGCTGTGTTTATTTGGTTTATGTTAATATGTTAAGCTTTTGTTTTGTTCCGTGTGCTGAGTTCCAGGGAATGTATAGTCCAGTATGGGTGATATTTCTGTGGATTTCTGTTTTGAATTGTGTATTGGTTCTTGTGATCTTGAGGTTTAGAAATGTTATTTGTTTAGCTTTTTCATATTCACAGATGAACTTAATATTGGGGTGTATGGAGTTAGCGTGGTTGAAAAAACTAAGTGTGTGTGTTCTGTAGATGTGAATCTAGCAAATGTATTGTGAACATATCTGTACCAATATAGTGGTGGGTGTAAGGCTGAATTGATCACTTGAGATTCAGTCTGTATCATGAAAATGTAGGCTAGAATTGGTGACACATTTTTAAGGACTCTTTTAACTTTAAATCTATTATGGATCAACTAAACCATAAAGCCTTAATGGCCAGTTTTGATGTAATCTCCATTTTCACTGAAGTCTCAACTACTGAAGCCAGCAAGATAGCTTTAGAACTTTATATCCAAGACCTCAACCCATTAATAAGACACTCAACACTCTGCCGGTTGTATAAAAATATCTCTGTTGGCTTTTTCTGTGTCGCATGGAGTTACATTATTATTATTTTTAGCCCTTAATCACAAAAGATGAGAGAAAGATTAATTATACATTAATTAAATCACACAAGTTAACTTTTTCTTGTTGTATAGCTTTTAATTAAACTTCTAATTATTTTGGAACGATGTCTATAGATTTTATGAATGATTAGGCTACTTTCAGGCTTATTTTGTGTAATTTAATACCTTGCTATCATCACAATCATCAATCTGTAATTATTCCGGAAATTACTCTCGTCTTTTGTGATTAAAGGCTAAAAATAATAATAATGTCACTCCATGTGACACAGAAAAAGCCAACAGAGATATTTTTATACAACCGGCAGAGTGTTGAGTGTCTTGGATATAAAGTTCTAAAGCTATTTTGCAGGCTTCAATAGTTGGGACTTCAGTGAAAATGGAGATTACATCAAAACTGGCCATTAAGGCTTTATGGTTTAGTTGATCCAGAATAGATTTAAAGTTGAAATACACATCCACAGCAACCAACTAGCAACTCTTCTAGAATTCACTACTACCAAAACCAACTTCATGTTCAACAACCAAAATTACATACAAATAAATGGCTTAAGTATGGACAATCCTGTGTCACCAATTCTAATTTTGGTCCAGGTATGTTTCTCCAGGGGGCTCTGAGGCTGCACTTGCAAGTGATCCTGGGCATTCATGAGAGAATTTACATTCATTTTTTCCAGCACCTTCCTTTATTCTGTTGGCTTCTCAGGATGCCAAATTGGGATCTGCCACCTCCAGCTCCTTTTCTTCAGTTGATAAATCGAGTGTTTTAGGTCTTTCCCAGATTGCTTTTGAGTCTGTGCCTTCCTTGATGGCAGAAAGGTTTGAGGGCAAATACTTAGTTCTCCCTCCATCCACTGATATTGCAGTTCATGCAGGGAGGTTTACTGCTCAGTTACATGAAGGGACAGCTATTCCTTGTCCGCTATGTTTGTCGGAACAACATGCTTTAGCCTACCACCGCCAGATGGATGTCTATTTAGACTCACAGAGAATAGACCTGCTCCTGGAAATTTGGGGTTCCAGAATAGAGTCTATGGTCACCTGAATAGATCACAGTTTTCTTGGATTCATCTTGCCCTAACTACAGTGGTAAGATAGTTATCATCACCCCCCCCCAACTTTTGTAAGAAGCCTCTCAGCAATCACCACATCAATTTGATGATGAGTTGTGACAATTGTTATCATCTACTTTGTTTCGATTGTCTGCATCTGCACTTTCCCTAGTCTCTTGGATGGTATGTTGTTGAGATTTGTTGGGTATAGATACATTGTTGGAGGGTATTCTTCTCTACTAGCTGCCACCCTCTGTGAGTTGCATGAGGTCCCCTTTCTCCAACTCTTGATTTTTGTGGGCATTCCAGAGTCTTTGGAATCAAGGGTTGATGTCATCTGTCTGCATTCATCCCTGTCATTGTGGGCTCCTCGGCTTCTACAGGGAGTCATAGTTCTGCCCCTCTGTCCATTGGTACCCAGAAAAGACTGTGCATATACCGTATGCCTTTGGAGTTTGTGGGGGCTTGGTTCTGAGAATTTCTGGATGTGTGGAAAACTATTACCACGGATCCATGGGTACTACAGGTCCTTGCTTCAAGATTAGTCATTCAGTTCACATCTTCACCACCATTATCCGTCCAACTTGTAGTGTTTCTGCCTTCCGTGGATCCTTGGATTTTAAAATTTCATGTCAGGGCTGTCAGAGATTTGTTGGTCAAGGGGGCAGTGGAGAGAGTCATCTCAGTTATTCCATTGTTTTATTCCTGCCTGTTTGTTGTGCCCAAAAAGACAGGATATTGGCATCTGGTAATTGATCTTTCTCATCTAAATCAATTCCTTGATCCTCCAAGGTTTTCAATGGAGTCATTCCTCACTCGGCTTTGGCATTTTTTACCAGGACTGTAGATGATCAAGTTTGATGTTGTCGACGCCTATCTGCACATTCCCATAGTGGAGTTGTCCCACTATTATTTGCATTTTGTGCACTAGGGTCAGGTTCTGCAGTTCAGGGCTCTGTTTGTTGGACTAGCATTGCCACCATATGTGTTCTGCCAAATCTTACTAGCTTTTACTTGTCACCTCCATTCCCTAGGCCTGTGCACACACTATTATCTTGGTTACTGCTGGCACCAACGCATCAGTTTGCAGAACTTCACACCCCAAATTAAACTTTTAGAAGCAACCAAGGCAGGCTTTATTATCAGAGCCAAGAAATCTATCTCACTCCAAAACACTATATAATCCATCTGGGTGTCTTTTTCAACATGTATCACAGTTTGGCTCAGCCAACTTCTATCCAGCTCTATGCTTTGGAACAGGCAGTCGGACTCTTACTCACCTTTCCTTCTTCCACTGCACAGATGTTTTTTTCTTTTGGGGATGTGAACATCACTCAAATCCCTCATTCCTTTGGAACAAATGTTAGTGAGATCCCTTCAGTGGTCTGTATGTGACCAATATATCATGAACAGCAATTCACTGGATTCCCCAGTCTCCTAATTCAGGAACAAAATCTTCAATCTTGAGTGGTGACTGAATCGGAACACTACTATGATAGGTGTTCCTCTGCCCCCAAAGTCATCCAGAGATTCATCTCTTCACGGATGCCTTGCTTTAGGGAAGGGGTGCATCTCTCTATGATCAGGAACGCCAGGGTCTATGGACAGACAATGAGGCTTCCCTACACAATGTTTTAGAACTTCTTGCTGTTTAAAGGGCAATGTTTCAAGGTTTGTACTTATTAAGGAGAAAAATCGTCATGCTTCACTTCAACAATTGTACAGTGGTGTCTTACACTTCCTGTCAAGAGGGCACTCAGTCCTGGTCTCTTTGTCTTTGAACCTTGGGCTCACTCTCCTCATATAATCCTACTAGCTTGCCATGTTCTGGGGGTGATGAATTTGGTGGCAGATCAATTGTCTCAACAGAATGGGTGCTGCATTTTGAGGTTTTCCATTAGATTTGCTCTCAGTTCAGGACACTGATGATTTGTGTGTTTGCCACTCATTGGAACACTCAACTACCAGCATTTTGCTCTCCAGTACCTCACCCACGGGCATTGACAACAGATGCATTCAATGAGGACTGGATGGGATTGTACCTCTGTGCATTCCCACCGATTCATATGTTACCCATAGTACTAGCTTTGATCTGTTCAACCCCTTGTTGTGTCCTGTTGACAGCACCAGTTTGGCTCAACCCTGGTCTCTACTTGTTCCATTTCCTTTTTGGCTATCTCTGTTGAGGCAGCCACTATCTGACATCGTACATTCAGCAATCTTGAATCTCAAGCTTCATGCATGGAGATAATGTGGTCCTTCCCACGACGTCAGGGTTTAATTTCTAAGTTTGCCATGTATCTGTCTCAGTCTTTGCATAGTCCCACAATGGACATTTATCAATGAAAATGGCACACGTATCAACAAATGGAGTATTGCAAAGAGGTTGAACCCACCTCATCCAGAAGGGCCAACCATAACTTATTTTTTTACCTGACTTCTTGACAATGGTTTTGAATCCTCCACAATTGCCTTATATAAGTTGGCCTTATTCACTACTTTTAGATAGATACTAAGGTAGCAATGAGACTGTGAATGCTATAACAGGATCTTTATTCTCTCAGTGATTCGACTGCAAATCTTCTTTAGGAGAGTGTGACTCCGTAGTACCTTACAAGGATGTATATACAAATTTTCCCAGATTACGTTCTTGGTCGCTGTGCCGCTCCCTGATTGGGTCATTATCATCATCTGTGGACCACCATCTGACCAATCGGCACCCTGCACTCTTCTCAATAGGCTCACTGCTGTTTCTCCCCACTTGTAGTCTCCTGCTGTGGTTTTTATGTTCTTTTCTAATAAGATGTAAGTATGTTTTATATAATTTTCCTTTGTTGCTTTTCCATCCCATTGCTGACAATTTTAGTTTCCTTCCGTTTAGGCAGGTGTCCTGCTTCCTCTGCATGTGCTACTATTGTGTTGTTTGTATTGTGTCTTCTGACATCTGCTTTATTCTCATTTACTCCAGTTGTCGGGCATCTGCCAGTTTCACCTATATAAACTTTACTGCATCCACCACATGGAATGCTGTATATTGCACTGCTGTCTATTGTGTGTTTCCATCTTTTGTCCTTTACCATCTCTCCTAATCTTATTCCTGTTTTCATTACCACCAGATTTTTTCAATGGCATAAAGTGAAGGACTTAGAGAAATTCTTCAGGGTAAAAAAATGAAGGCACTTGAATTAATTTGAAAACTACCATATGACATACTCAATACTACATCAATTATTATTATTATCCAGGTTTCAGTAAAATAGTTGTAGCTGTTTTTTCTGTCGTGGCTTGTAAAAGTATAATCAATAATAATAAGGCTGGAGACGCTCTAATAAAACTAAGCATTTCCAACTAGTATAATGGTGCTCAAATGGCTTTTACATTTCTGCTTCAAAGAGCTTATGTTAGTAGCGAAGAAGAACTTAGAAAATATTAGAGGATGGAAATCCTGACTTTCAAGAATAAACTTAAAAATAGCCCTACAACCTTTGCATGAGTTTTTTATTAGCTGTACAAAGATTTTGGTACAAGTTGTTTTTGCTGTAGACTTCAGTGCTTGAATAGCTTCAAAGAGAAACTTGGCCAGTAGTGATGGAAAAAAAAAAACTGATAAAATCTCTCCTCCTTCAAGAAGCAACATAAAAATAATCGTATGACCTATGCAGTTTTTTTTAGTAGGTTTGCCCAGGTTTGAATAAAATATTTATACTCATTTATTATGTAGGCTTGTGAAGCTTGTGAAACAAGAATAATAATGATAATAATATGAAGAACAAATGGATGAATTTTGTCTAACAATCAGAAAATCAACTTTTTAGCTATTATCAATACTTTAGCAGTCTTAGCCATTGAGTGTTGACTTGAGTGTTGTTTCAAAAACAAGTTTGCTTTTTAAGATGGTTTTTGCCCATATATTCTATTAGAATTTTTGTGAAATTCCTGGGCAAACCATATTAGGAACCACCATTGTGGTTCATGATTTGGTTTTTAGGCAAAAATGTGTTTGAGATATATACTTTAGTAGCGATAAGGTGTGTGAACTTAGTGTTGTCTTAGCACAATTGCTGGCCTATTTAAATGTACTGTTTTCAGAAACATTCTGTACAAGATAATTAAAATATGTATGGTTACAGTGTTGCATTTTTCTTAACTGATTGTTATGTATGTTTCCAATGATAGATTTTTAATTTGTACTGCATTTACAAAAAACAATTTTCAGTTGCAATTGAAAGGCAATTCTAACCATGCAACATCTAATAACTTGATGATTCTGTATACTTCAATTTGGTTATTATAGTATTCAAAAAAGTCTGATTTATATTATTTTTTAACTTGTGCTTTAAGACCATTCATATATTTTTTTTATGTTCTCCAGTGTAGTGAATAGTTGGTGAATCATGCAGGAGTAATATGTGTTATACTTGTAGCAACATAATTTTTAAAGAGGTTAAATGGTGACATTATTTATTTCATAAATAATTTTAAAAGCTTAGTAGTAAGTTTTAGGGCTTGTAGTGCTAAAAATTGGATTTCAATATCTGCTGTGGACAGAGCGCAGACAACTATTGTGTACCTTTGTGCTTAACAACAAATAAATTTAAGTTCTAAAAAACAACAACAATGAATAATTCACGATAAAACTCCACTTGAATAAATTGTTTACCATAGAGTTAAGTAACTATACAAAGTTGCTCCATTAATAGCTAGTAGTCTTTTTGTAGAAAAAGTTAGTTTTAGGAGGTCATGTTATGATAATGGAGTAAAAAAAATTTAACTTTGTCTTCTGATATATACAATTAAGTTGATCCTAGATAGGTTTTCTCATTGAAGCTTTACACTGAAAGATTGATTTACTTTATTATTTGTACTTAATTTCAAGGTGTTGTAGGATAATTTGTGAGGAGATTAATGTTATCAGTTTTAAATCAAATGCAGTGGAATACAGTGACACAGGTTATATGAGTAAAATTATGAAAGAGAATATTTGTAACAATTTCAAATAAAGCTCAGTTGAATAGAATGATGCAGATGCTGTGAGTGAAGTTCAGTGACTGAAGTTGAGAGCTTACTGAAGTCCATATAGTGTTTTAATACGACTAGAATTCAATTGAGTATACAATATTTATATAGTTGCAATTGGTTATGGATAGATTAGCTATGGAGAAGTTTGAAATTTAATCTGTACAGTTAGCAGTGCCCAATTAAATGGTGCATTTCAGTTCTTCCAAAAGAAGGCAAGCAAGATGTTTTATTATTTAAAAACTCTAATAATGAATAACAGTATCTTAGTTTATTAAACATCTAAATCTTTAGCTCAACTAAATTGAGTAACACATATATTTTGAAAGGATCTCGAGAATAGGTTTTGTGAAAAACAATAACTTAGTTAAACGCTTGTTTTTATAGAATTCCTTCTACTTCAACTGAGCATGATAAGGTGATTCAAGAGCTCAGACAGAGGGTGGGTGACTTAGAAGTGCAAGATCTTAGTGACACAGAAATGGAAGAAGTGTTTGTTGCTCCAGTCAGTACAGTAGTAAAAAAGTCACCACATACCAGGACATTTAGGTCGATTACATTATCTGAAGCCATGGTAAAGAAAAAAGGATTATATCAGTTTTAAAAATACCTATCTTTAAAATGTTAGCAAAGTGAAATGGTCTAGAATGAGTGGGAAAGAAACATTGTTTGTATAGAAAATTACTGCTGAAATAACATCTAATGTATGTGGGAATGATAGGATGAATAATGCCTAAGCAAATGAATCAATTTCTTTTGGTAAAGCAATAAAAAAATATTAATTTAATTCATTTGTTAGGTAAGTGTTTGTAGTTGTTAGCAGTTTTGACATATAAATATTATTCATGTAGACCAATTAATTAGACTTGACTAAAATGTAATTGAAATTCAAAAATGAATTTGTCCCTAGATACTAAGGTAATGAGTTTTATATTATATACTTTGTATATTTAAATGAAAAATCTCAATATAATCTTCATTTATAGAGTTAAATTTTATTACTTTCCTTACATAATTAAAAATGTTTTAATACTTTAGATATTTTCTAAATAGAAGTTATACATGTAATTAGATTTTATTCATTAATTTGCTTCACTCAAATTACGTGTCCACACCATTTTATATGATTAGAGTATAAGAGTTTGAATAGTATTTAATAATTAAGTTAAATGTTTCATTGTTATAAAATGATTTAATTTTCTTCCTTAGAAAAAGTTAATAATATCAAACTTGATGAAATGTTGAATTTGTTAAATCATATTTCAGACTTCTAACACACTACATTTATTTGTTATAGAACTTGAAAAAGATTATTTTAGGGTCTCCATTCCGAAACTTTAACTTAGAGTGGCAGCACCAGAATTTTACTTTTTGCAACTATCAAGATGTGATGTATGGACTCGTGCAAAAGAAGGTAAGATTATTATTCATTTAGGAATTTTCTGCATTAACAAAATCTGCGAGATGTATCTTGCTAGTTCATAAATTTTATTTTAATACAGTCTTGCCTTCACTCCCCACACAAAGCTATCTTGATCTTCTTTCTTCCCCCTAAACATTGCTAAAAAATGTTAATGCTCAGCCTACCAGTCTATATACCCCCACAAATTTTGTGCTATTTTTTAACATGTATTTAGCATGTGACCACTCTCCATCAATAGTATTGCACTATCTATGTTGATGCATCTAGCTCCTTCTTATTATCCTGCTCAATCCTCTCTTTCTTTATTGGTACAGCACCGTTTAGATGTGTGTGTTATTTCACATATGACTACCGTTTACGATTGTACTTATTCACATTTCAATACCTTTTTCAACAGTTTTGTTTTACTTTGTTTGCATTCAGTTCTTTCAGTTTTTTTCTGCATTTGTTTATTGTTACCAAATTATATGGTAGCTTAGAATGATTTTGCGATTCAATGTATTGACAATGGAAGTTCCTGTTATGGTAGACAACACTTCTGATAGACTACTCAGGCATCGGGTTTGACTCTATCTGCTGAGGAGGTACAGGCCTTAATTTGCAGGGAGCTAGATTCCTGTGTTACGCCAGCAATTTCTTCTCATTTTCAACTTGACAATGTTTCTGAGGATAAATACAATCAAGGAGAAGAATATTGGATTCACTTATTCTTGCACCTTCTTATTTTTGTGTGTCACACTTAACACCTCCACAGGATATTTCACCTTCCACACCATATTTTTTTACAGCTGGTTAATCAAGTATATAGTATATTACACATTTCCTTTTCATCCTAGCTTGTGAACATCATTGAATGGATATATATACTATTAATGTTACCAGAATCCTCTACCATTGCTCTTATGTCATCCTATATCCAGACTACTCCATCCTCCCTAAGATATTTGTTGCCCAGGAAGGCCATTTGGCTTTCATACTCATTTCTTTACCTTCCATCTCTTACCTGTAATTTCATTCCAGTCCTGATTGGATTGTTTGTCAGGTTTGCTCCCTATGTGTTATGTGGCATGTACTGTCTCCTTTTGGGGTTCATGTTCCCAAACTTTTATTCCCTGAAACCCATCTGTTTCCTGTGATCTATCCCCTGTCACAGTAACTGGTTGGGTTTGTCATATCACCATGTCTTTGGCTGCTTGTCTTCACTGTTCATTGAAAGAAGTCATTCAGGCCAGATTGTGGCTATTCCTTTGTCGCTCATTATCTGCACACACTGGCTGTACATTTCTCAGGTGGATATTGTGTCTCTCCTGTTGCAGTTCTACACGCAGCCATTTGTCTTTGACTTGGGTATGTCTTTTCACAACATTTCATTTATGTTTTCTTTTCAGGGACCTTCTTTTACTGCTACTAATAAGATCCCATTCTGTGGTGAGTTGCCTGGTCAGATGTACTTTCACTCAAACCCCCACTATGTACAGGTAGAACTATAATGCTCACTGTAGGTAGAGATGGGGTGTTATGCAAGACCACCAATGGCATGCCTAGTGGAATATACTTATGTGTCTCTAGGTATCTGTAAGTTTAACTTGATGGTGGACCATCACTCATAACTATCATGATTAAAGCGAAGCCCATCCATGCCAACCCTTTGATTACATAAATCGGGAATGGTCTGCTTTTGAAATTAGGGAATCTTGGATACCCATATGGGTTACAGGTATTGCCCTGATCTTGTGGTTGTGTTGAGGCAATGACACGACCATGTAATGCCAGGTATTGAGTTCACTTTGAGATTTTGTTTCATAGAGTGGCTCTTCACCTACGAGAGCCAGTTGCTTTCTGGTCTGGTTTTTGTGATGGAGAGCAATTCGAACTTGCATCATATTTTTTTTTCTGCTCATGTCAGGTTCATTTCCTTCTTACAGGGCGAAGAGAATACCTGTTTCAGAAGTAGTGCAGTGCCCCACATGTGTGCTTCGGTTTCATCTTTGAGCACACCAGCTATCTCTAGGTGGTTGTTTTCCACTTAGTTTCACTGTTAGGTGCCTACACAGCCCCCTTCACCTTTCCACTGTGGGATTATAGTTTCATATCAGAGGAGGTAAGACCATATTGGAAGTTAGCACTTCCCACCCTTCCTCCCCACTGCTGGTGGTACTTATTTTAGATCCTGCCAATTCTCAAAAGTGAGGATTGAGTGGGAGAATCAGAGAGAGCTATCTGTGCCAATATAGGTGGTGCAACTATTGGTGGAGGGTGGTCACATGCTACATACATGTTCAAAAGTGGTACAAAATTTATGTGGCTTATAGACTGGTGCACTGAGCATTAAAATTTTTTAGCAGTGCTTATCAGGCAGAAAGGCGATTGAGATAGCTTTGTGTGAGAGAGGGAAGTACCTATTCAAAATACATTTTCAGTGTAAAAAAAAATGTTAACTTTTATTTTCTAATCTCATTTACCACATGGCTAATATTTTTGTTTAAGATGGTCAAAATTTAACCAATAATATGTATCATAGCTCAACCGCTAGTATTCCATATATATCACCATAAGATAAGAAAAAATAATCAGTTTTTTTTTTTACAAAAAATAAATATTTTTGAGCAAAATAATTTTTTCTATAACATTACTTCAGTTCCTGTCATTTTACTATCCCACATATGGTAGCTTAGTGGAAACACCTTTTGATCCTTCGTATACATATGCTGCAAGTATACATGTGGTTCAAGAGTTAATTTAATTTCATCAGTGATTATACTTTACATTTGCATGATATGTATTTCATAAAATTAAAAAGCATGAAAAGGAGCTCTGTGTGTTAATATATTTAGAGATCTTATAACTTTACAACTTCTGTACTGGTGGTAAATCCAGTAGCGTATTTTTTTATAATGATATTTTAAGAATAGAATAAACTGAAACAGTATAGATAATAAAATGTGATATGTCAATTAAATAATAAAAATAAACAAAGTAAGTTTAAATTACTCCCATAATTGGTGATTAAAGTTTATATTTATGTGCACTTTGAGTTCCAATACTTCAATAACAGTGGGCCCAAAGCCACAATGGTTGTACTATTGAAGACAGCTATCATACAAACAATAATATTAAACTTACATGCAAGAAGTATCTATTAAAGCAATGTACATAATGCAACTGTAATAAAGCTAGAGAAATTAATTAAATTTAAATATATCAGCTGGGTAAAATTATAGAAGAAATAGTCCAAGTTTAATTACTTGTTCTCATGTACGTGTTATCACTATTGCAAAACAAAACTGTTTGTATGACTTGAAACCATACAGGAACTCTCTATTTCTACAGCTATGTATTATAGGAAGAAAACCTGCACTTGGGGCTTTTTACTAAAGTATTTAAATAATATTTCTGGTTTTTGGAATTTTTTTAATTGGCTAGAGCATCAATGAAAAATCATTGATTGTTATTGCTCTTTTTGGGCTATTTGAGCTAGGAATGAACAACAAAAGTAGTAATATATATAGATTTGTAGTGTGGTATATAAGCATATGGTGCATTTTTACCTTATTTTAATATTGTAGTTTTTGAAATTTGTCAATTATTCTGGTATGTGCAGTTATCACATAATGTGATCAAGAAATCCATTGAGTTGCTTTCATTCTAGCTTGTTATCTCAAGAGAATTACATGATCTTTCCATGAGAAATATGGCAGTTAAGGTTTACCTTTTCCACTGATGAAGACAACCATGTTTTTCAATGGCTATGCCTCAACATTATAATCTTCCTTAACCCTCTCGCCAATAACATCGTTTATTGTGCATGTCATGAGGTTTTTATAGAGATTCATTCAAAACTTAACTAAACTACTTCTTGATAATGTTATACCAATTAGTATAGTATAAAATCATAGGTAATAATACGTATCTTAATAGTATGTAAGTTTTAAGTTATTAATTTTATAAGATAATTTAATAAAATCCTTAATTTTCCCTAGTGCGAGAAATGTGACATTTTTTCTTTAGGCATCCCATCTTCTCTTACTTATTCACTATCCCTCCAAAAATAAGTACAAAATTTAATTTAAATTACTCACTGTAATACCCTCATTGCTGAGACAAAGCATAATTTTCCTAGCCTTCAAACATTTTTGGTTACAGAGTCATCAAATAGAAAATCAGACCCCTCTTGCCACACCCACCTATTACATCCTCTCTTTCAGGATTTGTTAATAGTTCTTTCTTACATTCAGTACTATATTATTTTTAACCAACAGAAAGCCAAGGT